CGGCAGGAGCGGCTGAGGAGGGGGGGCCCGGCGTGGCGGCTGAAAGCTTCCCTTCCCCGCAGAGCGAGGTTTCGGTTTCTTGGAGACCCTCCGCGGAGTTTGCTGGCAACGTGTGAGTACGCCCGGCGCCCCGCGTTCCTTTCCCGAGGTGGCGGGGTGAGGGATCGCCCCTCCCCGCCGTGCTGCCGCGGGGCGCTTGGGGCCGGGCAGGGTAGAGCAGCGGGATTTGGTTTCGTTTCGTCCGGCCGCAGGTACAGGGGAGAGGGGATCCTGCCTGCCAGCCCCCACGACGTCTGGGAGTGCATAAAGCCGGTGGCCGGCGGGCCCAGGACCAAGTGGGACCAAAACGTCAAGGACTTCGAGGTGGTCGAAGCCGTCAGCGATGTAAGTTCCTTAAAAGCCGTTCTGGTGCGATTAACGCCGCGTTGCGTTTAGAGGCTTCGGGCCCCGCAAAGCTGTGCCTCAGGAGACGGGCTATGTTATGGGCAGGGACAGCCGCTCTGCCTGGATCAGTCTGACAACACCGGGATTAGGAGTCTTTTTTTTTCTTTTCTTTTCCGTAAATTGCATACGTTCTCTTAACAATAGCTTATCTTTCTGAAAGGACCTACTAATACATTCTTGGCTAAATTCTACATACTTAAAACATGTAAGTGTATAACGTTAAAGATTCCTGTACTATGTTGCTGTTAATGCTGCGAATCAAGCTAAGCATGCTTATTTTTAACAAGCTATTTGTGAGGGAAGAGGAGGTTTAGAGAATACGTAGACTTAGCTAAGCAGTGAAGCTTTCCTATCATCAGCCATTAATTCAGGCCCCATCTTTCACCGTGGCAGCTCAAGACACTCTGCACGTCACGCTCTGCCATTAACTGGCTGACCGACCTTGGGACCCAGCGCTTCGCCCCCGGTGTCTCTGTCACTAAAATAGAGGTGCTGCAACTTGGAGCATTACAGCTGAAGAGGGTTACGTGTGAGCAGTAGTTTCTGCTGCTGTGGTTATACAGTCCAATTTCCTTTTATTTTTAAGTGTGTCAGAACCTTAAAAAGGCATTGGATTTAGATCCCCAAATCTGAAGTGGATGTAGGTGCTCAGAGACAGCCAGGGTGCATAACACAGCCAATCCCAGGAATGTTCGTGGAAGTCCTGAGAAGATTCTTTTTCTTGGGGGAACGTTACAGGTGTTTAGTATTAATTATAAACTTCAACTTTAGGAATGCTGCAACCTGCCACTTGAAATTCATAGACTTTATCAAACTTGCCAGCACTTACCAGTGTGGTAGAAAACTCTGTTTTGGGGAGCCTATCACTACAAGAGCCTCCACAGAGGGGATGGTAGTGTTAAGGTTTCTGCAGTGTAACAAATCTGGTTATCAAGTTGTATCCCATGTGATATGATATAAAGAAGTTATCTTTATCTTTAGTTTCCTGGAAAGGAGAAGCATTTTAACTGTCCTATGAGCATAGATGTGCCAGATTTGCTTTTCAGCATCCCTTGTGGTATCTGTCCTTAAACAGCCTGGAAGCAATGCATTAGCACTCTGTTTTTCTCCATTAAATTGTCCTTCATCAACACACAATAGTGCCTTTTGACTGTGTTGATTTGCATTTAGTTCAACAAAGGGCGTAATAGAACTCCTTGGTATAGTTTAGAAAGTGTAACTGAAAGAGTATCAGAAAGTACAGGGATTTTTCTGCTATACTTTTGAAAGCATCAACTGACAGAACTCTGTTTTGTGATTTCCAGACTGTCTCTATATGCAGAACCACAACTCCTTCAGCTTTCATGAGGATTATTTCACCAAGAGAATTTGTGGATGTGGTACTAATGAAGCAATTTGAAGACGGGACGATGCTGTCTGCTGGTAAGATGCTTGTGTTCTCAATGTGTTCACGTTATGTTAGGAGATAACCAGCAGCTACTGGAAATAAATATAAAATAAAAAATAAATAACATGCTAGTCAGTAGTTGTTGATCTGATCTTGATCAGAAGATAAAATATTAGTGGTCTCTCAACTTTGTTGTTCTCGGAGGATGTATGTCATCTTAACATTCAGGTAATGATGTTATTGTTGGCCTGTGGTTTCTTCTCTTGCTATACGTTTGAGATCAAATAACTGTTTAATTTACTATTAAGTTCTGGGGGTTTTGTTGTTGTTTTTTTTAAGAATTTACAGAACTTTCTAAAATGAGTCCTATTTAGGGTAAATCCTGTTTTAACGGTTTTTTTGGACTGCCTCTAGATTTTGATGAAGCCACTGAATAAATGTACTATTCCTGTATGTGGAAATAATTGTTCTTATGAAACCAAATAATGCTGATTTTTAAGGTGCTGCCACCACGTGGAAGGATGTTTCTTTGTTTTTTCACTCATCCTGTTGTTTACCTTTTACAAGTCAGTGCTTTTATTGCCCCACTGTTCAGCTGTCCCATTTTCCCATCCTGTTCAGGAGTGCCTTGCCAGGAAATTATATACTTGCTAGAGTGCAGCTTCTCAGCAGTCAAGTGGCATGTACCTCTGGGGCATGGATTTGTTGGAAGTAAGGAAGTAACTTGAATGATCTCTCCAGAAGAGCAATGCCCTCACACAACTCCCTCGAAGTGTCTTGCTTGAAGTAACAATTGCTTCTAAATTCAATGCATCTTTGATTTCTCCATTCCGTGGCCAGAGTGGTTCCTTTTAATGGTCTTTTCTGACCACTTGTATGGCACAGCCCCACACTGAAAAAGTTATACTGCCATTCTTCTTAAATATATTCTCATACCATGAGTTTGCTTCCCAGATGGTGCTTTGACTACCAAGGACTCTTTCCCATCTTCTGTGAAAATGACGCTCTTCTTGAATGCTTTTTCTTCTAGCCACCAATGTGGAACACCCGCTGTGTCCTCCTCAACCAAATTTTGTGAGAGGTTTTAATTACCCCTGTGGCTGTTTCTGTATACCTCTTCCAGGGTAAGAAGCAATCTGTTTGAATGTTATGTGTTCTAAAGGCCTTCGCATCCACTGTGTGGGTGTTTATGTGTATATGACCACATGTGATCTGTAGCCTCTTGGCAATGGCATGTTTCTGTCTTCCTTTGACTGGTCATCATTATGACTGAGTGTCCCTTTTGTTCTCTTTTTTGAGCAATGAATTAGCCTCCCTTCATTTCCTTGAGGGAAATCTTTAATGTTACAGAAACCGTCATCATGGTAGGGCTCTCGCTGACCTCTTAAGCAGAGATTTAGCAGAACATACAAGTATGGTCTTAATTTTTGGCAAATGATTATCCAGTTGTTTATTACGTTGCCATAATTTATAAACAGAGTCGTGTACCTAATTAGGGCCTAGTTTAACTGTAATTTGACCTGTGGGGATAGCTACATTCATTGACATTTGGAATTAATGTCTGTTGTTTGTTTAAAGAAAAAAAAAAGTACTTGGAAATATCTATCATCGGACAATACATATGAGAGTCATTGTAAAGTTCTTAATGCTTTTAAACCACTGGCTATAAAATCACTTGCATTGTCTTTGCAGGGAGCCAGACAGGACTCAACTCCTCAGTTTCTTTCAGACTGATCTTGGTGGCTATCTTCCCCAGACGGTGGTGGATTCCTTCTTTCCAGCTAGTATAGCTGGATTTTACAGTAACTTGACCAAAGCTGTTAAGGCATTAAAAGCGTGACAAGACCAATTGCTGACATCACCAGATGAGGGTAGGAAAAAACCTGGCAGCTTGAGGGTAGAAGTAGGAAGTTGGCCTACAGGACTTTTCTACCAGCGAAGACACTTAGGAAAGGTGAAAGGGGAACAATGAATTGAGTAAAGCAGATGTTTAAAACAGCACTTTCTACCTGTCTCTATGCAAAGCAATGCGTTCTTTTCTAATACGATATCCTACATTTTCATAATTAGAAAAATACCACACCAGAGGCTGGAAGAATGCTGGAGGCAGCACTGGTGGCTGTCTGTGGGGAGAAGGCGCACGTACTGGATCTGTTTTCAGCCACACTGTGTCAGTGTCTGTGAGGAGGAGCATTGGTAAAATCCACTTAGCTCTACAGCATTAGCCAGGAGCAAGCCAGCCCTGGTTTGTCTCTGAAGCTCCCTGTAGACGCCTGTGGAACAGGCGTTGCTTCCCCAAAAGAAGAGGTAGCTGTTGTGCTGGCAGCACTTGTAGAGCTGCTGAGATGCTTCAGTGGGTCCAAACCAGCAAATTGTAAAAGCCAGAACAAATTGGGATGTGTGGAGGATCCCACTTGTTTGTTCCAGCAGACTTCAGTACTGATGGTAAATATGCCTTACGTGCTTTTTTTCTAAATCAAGGTCTAGCAGTGCAAATCAATTCATAGGTCTGTGGGTTGGCAAACAGACACTCTTCCTTTCTCCCCTCTGTACCAAAACCAGTGATTTCCACAATGTTGTGAAAGAAACTGCACTGATATAGTGGCAATAAATAAAGAGGATTAAGCACTTTACTTGCCATTTTTTAAATTGCACTTGAGTGTTTTTTGGTCTCTTGTGGTGAGAGGTTTTAACGGGTAAATAATCTTTTCTGTAGCTTAATCTTGACCTGACAGTCCATAAGGACATTGGTTTTTTCTCTAAGACTGGTTTGCCTCACAGCACTATCTTGGGAAACCAGCTTCTGATCTTGTGTGCAATGATGCGTCCAGGTTTAGAAAATACTTAATGGTGCTGGTTACTGCAGGAATGTCAGACATTACTATGGATTACATATAATTACAAAAGGAAAGCTGATTGCTGAATTAGGAATTTAAATGCAGGTTGTGATTTTAATGCTGTAACTCAATTATTTAACAAGGTTAATATGCTCTGCTTTCTGTTGCTGTATTTGTTTTATATTTAGTATAGGGCATGGACTTGCACACAAAGTTTCCCACTGTAAATCTCACCCTATGGAATAGAATTTTCAAGGAATCAGTTTTTAATCTAGTCTCCTGTGTCTACAAAGATGTAAAAAATTGTATGATGTAATAAATGTATTTGTGCTACATCTTGCTGGTTTTCCTGGATCATCCTTTAAAATAGTTCCTCGTGCACCTGCTTTGCCAGCACGGAAATGTAAGAGCCACTTGGACCTCTAGCATCTCTCTGAATTCCAAGCAACAAGGCAGGGAAAAGCCTTCTCTCACATTTACACTCCCCACTAACAGGATAAGTGTGTTTTGGTGAGAGCACTCACTCTCCCAACTTCTTTGCCCTTGGTTGGTCCTTGTTTCCAGTTTAAGATTGCTGCTTTCTGTACATAAGAAGAGTAACAAATTCACTGAGGAGAGATTTGGGCCCTGATAGTTACAGAGGCTCATACGTAACTTATCTGAATGTACTAAAGTTGTTAGGCATGAAGTTAAGTATCTTGGCAAGACTTTGCAGGATTATGATTAATTTAATTAGCAGAAAGGTCAAGGAGCAGAGCTCAAGTCACTACTCATTATTCCTGCAAGTAAAACTTTTGCAGACAATGGGGCTTTTTATTAGCTATTTATTATATATTTAATCTTTTTTTAATTGCTCTGAGCAAGAAAGGTCTTCCTTGAAATAATTTAAGGATCCTTTTTCTGAGTGCTCAACACATTCTATGCAGCAGGAATTAAAAGCCCTTAACATTCAGCTTTCTGTGCTGCCAAACTGGAGATGGAAATGTCTTGGCAAAGATCATCGTGTAAGGTCTTGGAGGACTCCCCAGTGAGATGTGCTGCCTGTCACACAGCATGTTTTGGCTACTTTTGATCCTGGCAAATGCCAGGAAATGCAGAGGCATGCAAAAACTGAGAAGCTTTGGAGTTGAAGTGAGAAGAGCACCTCTGGAAAAGAACGAGATCAAACCTGTCTTGGTGGTTCTATATCAGTTCTTAAATTGATGAAATTAAATAGCTGTTTCAGGTGAGGACACCTTCAGCAGATGGCATTGAAGTAATTGAGGCATTCTGTGCCATGGCTGTAGCTAGTCCAGTCTCTGTTGTTACAAAGTTACGCAGCTGACCAAAAAGTGTGATCTGTCTTTTACAGGAAATAGCTTTAACAGTACTAGAGAGTTCAGGCCTGCTTTTCTGTACAGAAATCATTAATATTTTTCCTATATTGGTGGTATGGGCAAGTGGTTGAAAAATCTTAGAATTTTTTATATGCACCAGGCCTTTACTGAGATTTGTTAAGCCTAAGCCAATAATGCAGATTAAGTTAAATACAGGAAATTCTACAAAAAAAACCCCTGAAATATTCAGAGTGTTTCATGTAGGTACCAGTTAAAACAATGTACAAAAAGATTCCCTCTCACATTTTTCTCCTATTTTGGTTGCTACCCGATTCGTAGAAACTTTGTTTTAGGATTGTTTGGTTTGTTTTTGGAAAAGACAACTTAATTGGGAAGGGGTTTGGAAGCATAGGGGCAGATGGCTTGTCAAGAACATTCTTTCAAGGATTAACATAGAGTTGACTTGTGAGGAAAGGCTAAAGCAAGTTATGTGCCTGTATGCAACTAATACCTTCTGCTGTCTGTCCTACTTCCCTTTCTCTCAATTGCTATTTCTGTGACAATGCGTTAAGTGCATGGAAAATAACTTCTGAACTCCTGCAGTTTATGGTTTGGTGACATTAAGTGACCAAAGAAGGGTGCAGCAAAGTCCCGACTGTGGGAAGGTGAGCAGCTAAGGACAGTAATCAGTGCAGCCATCTGGCTTTCAGCTGGTGAGTCGCTACTTCCATCCTGATGTTGCTTCTCTTCCTTTAGCGAAGTGGGTCAGAGAAGACCAAATGGGTGCACAAGACCATCTTACCATAGATACACATGCTGCTGCTGGTAGAATTCCATACAATGCTTAGAGAGCGCTGCCAGAATGCTGATAACAGCATTTCAAGCTGTAGGTTTGTCTCCAAGTTATTTAGTGTTTCCAGAATAAACGTTTGGATTCAGAACTTCTCATTCCCAAATACTCTCACTGGTACTTTCCCTTACAAAATTAACACAACAACATTTCAAAAAATACGTGTGGTGACCTGGTTCTGAATGGCCTTGTTACTCTCCTGCTGTAGTCCTCTTGAGACCTCTGGCCAGAGGAAGGTTAGTGAAACCTCTGCTGTATTACCCTCAGCTTCCTGCCTCACCCTTGCAATACCATGAGACACTCCTTTCCACTGCAGCCTGTGTTTGCCTGCTGGAGTTGAGATGGCTCTGTCAACTACTAGTAGTTACCTTGAAAGGTTTGGGCTGTCCTGGATGTTGTGTGGTTTGAACAGAAAAGCTGGAGTTTTCCAGGGCATGTTGTTGTTTTGACACACAAAGTTGTATCCCCCTTTCTCTGCTCCTTACATATTCTCTAAGGCTTTACACGTTCTTTAAGGCAGTGTTTAGTTGTAGGCTTGTAGACACATTTCTTCCTGGGAAGGTAAGGTAGGGAGCAAGACTTGAAGAGTAGGACTGAAAACTTAGCACAGAATGTGCTTCTGATACTTGTTACGTTAATGGCTTAAAATAGGAGAGTACTATAGCTGTGACGTATTTTATTACAACCAGTATATTATTAATAAAGTCATTTTATAATTCTACACTTTTTAACATCTGTTTCTGAATGTTGAAATAAGTCATGCACATTTTATGCACATCTTATTTTATCATAGATAGCTTGCTCTGTAAGTGGCAGTAAGATCATGTGTATGTACTTTTCATATGCGCTTTCTGAGTATCTTGCTGTGCTAGCCAAATGGCTGCAAGTAATAAAATCCTTTTTTGTTTGTAATATTGACAGTAGTCTATTTCCTCCTCTTACAAAGTTTCAGATGACTTGGTGGTAACAGAGCTCGGATTCTTTCTCTTGATGATAGCTGTGATGGGCCCCTCAGGTAATGCCTTGATTATATTCCATGCTTCAAAACGAGTCAGTCCTTGCATGGCAGTTGTGTGCACTTGTAATAGCTCATCACCAGGCTGAACAGGGCCGCTTTGTTCTAATGCAGTCCCTGGAGAAAGAAAGAAAATTAATTTCCTTTAATTCTTTGTGTGGAGGAGACTTTAACATATTTTTCACTTATTGAGGATCACTAGCATGTTTGGTATAAACCACCTGGTCTCAGCAAACGACAAATTACTGGCACTGCAAAGGAGAATGCTGCATTTACAAAAATACCATTTTCATGGGTATAAATCAGCAGCCAGTTATGAACTGCACACATTTGCATCAGCTAAGGACCTGCTGTGTATGCATTTAAGTGTGTTTACCTTTAAATATCCTGTTGATGATGATGGGTTTATCTCCATGAATAGAGCCCTTCCCTCCTTCCAAACTGAATCCTAAACCGGCAGGTGTTTTTTCTAGAGTTACAGTGCAGATTGTATCTTCAGTTGCTGGAAACAAACAGAAAGTTAGCAGATGGGCACCACATAGTCTGAAAAGCTAAAACATCTGTTACAAAAAATGAACTTCTGTTTTGTTTGCAAAGGCACCATAAACTGCGAAATGAAGGAGAAAACTACGACTTCCAATTCCTCTTTTTGTCATTGTAAGGCCCTCTGGGAAGCAGGGGAGAGGAAGTTGTGTTTGAGTTCATGGCAGAATGGAAATATAAGGATGAAAGCTGGTGACATTTACTAGAATTAGAAAAATCTGTTCAATGAACAAAATTTAAGGTAAACACATTTGACTTTATGTTAGTTATGAAATTATCATCTACAAAGCTGCTAATGTTTATTTGCAGTATATAAATAAAGCTACATATCTCCAGATCATGCTTTAGAAAAAAAACCCATGAAAATATCTTAGGGTTCTGCAAAAATCTGAT